AGACCACGAAGACTCAGAATGAACAGGGCAAATTTTTCTAAGATATTAGATATAGCTGTGAGGTGGTAGTTGTGTGATGGGCTCCTATTCACAATCTGGAAAACTCAAGTTTTCTTCAGGCTAGGTTCTCCTGTCCTAGAATCAGGTTAAACCCCAGCACCACTGGCACTCCTTTATGAAAGAAAATATATTAAAGCAATACAGACTAATAAGCCAAGAGCCAAAAGACTCCAACTCTGATTACAGAGTAAACAAAAGTAGTATAAGCTTATTAAACAGTATCACGATCACCTAGTCCAACAGCTTAGTCTGATCTATTGAATCACTTTCTAAACAATAGCACGGCACCTCTAAGATGTTCCTTTTTTATTCTCTCTAAACTACCAACCTCAAGGAAACCACTAAGGCCCTCTCTAGGTGGACCTTAACTGCCAATGTCATTTTTCCAAATTAGGAAACCTTACTTGGTAAGCTATTTCAGTATTTGTAATTCTATACATCAATAGAATCAAATTCTTCAACTGGAACTTATTTCTCATGAACCTGAAGAGCTCCTTCAAGATGTTTCTAGACCCTGGGGATGGACTCAGACCCTAGGAGACAATCTCCTTCTTGGAATTATTGCGTAATAGTAAATGTGGATTTACAATTAAGATATAATCTTATCAAGCAGTCCAAAAGAAACCAGTTAAGTAGCTGGCCGTATTTCGGAACTTCAAGTGTTAGTTTAAAACTACAATAGAGGGGCGCCTAGCTGGCTCAGTGGGTTAAAAGCCTCTGCCTTCAGCTCATGATCCCAGGGTCCAGGGATCAAGCCCCAAATCAGGCTCTCTGCTCAGCAGGGAGCCTGCTTTCCCTACCCACCCCCTCCGGCTTGCCTCTCTGCCTACATGTGATCTCTGTCAAATAAATCAATCTTGGGGGGGGGAAAAAAAAAAAAAAAAACCCTACAGTGGAAGGGGTCCTGGGCAGCTCAGTTGGTCAAATACCCATCTCTTGACTTCAGCTCATGTCATCATCTCAGGGTCAGGAGATCGAGCCCAGGTCAGGTTCTGAGCTCAGTAGTGTGTGCTTGAGATTCTCACTCCCCCTGTTCAGGAGCACATGCTCTAAAATAAACCTTAAGGGACCCCTGGGTGGCTCAGTCAATTAAGCGTCTCCCTTCAGGTCATGATCCCAGCATCCTGGGCTAGAGTCCTCCAATGGGCTCCTTGCTCAGTGGGGGAAACTGCTTTTCCCTCTGCCTGCCACTCCCCGTTTGTGTGCTCCTTCTCCCCCCACAACAAATCAAATCTTTAAAATAAATCTTAAAAAACAAAACCAAACCACAGTGGAGTTGTAGAGAAGAATCTGTTCTGATGCTTACCTGAAGGCAACTGCCCATGAAGTCTTTAGTCTCCACTACCTTACAAAAGTAGTGTGAGGTGGAAGTTTCTAAACTAACCAACCAACCAGGTTCCTAAGTTTGCAGGGCTACAAGTGCAGCTCAAAAGACCTTAAGAGCTTACACACTGTAAGGGTTGAAGCAGCTGTGCTCAGGGTGAAGATTTTTGTTTCTCAGCCCTGTACCCTTCTACAACAATGGGGACAAGACAGGTGGACCGTGACTCCTATGATCACAACTGACCAACTCTATACAGACAGAAAGAGGGATGTCCAAAACACTGAAGGGGCATGGAAACTCCACTCGGAAGACCTCCTAAAGTTACTCTTTCCTCCCTGCCCCTCATTTCTCCCCAAATGCAAGTCAACCCTTCTGAACACATTTCCTATACTGAGAAGTTGGGAGAGGAAGTGTTAAAGAATCAATATTAGACTTACTTCATAGTATTACCATAAGGGATGTTGAAGGGAAAACAAATCCTTCCCCCAAAATTTAAGTCACAGCAGGACAGGTGGTAAAGTGATGGGGGGAGTGGGGGGGACTCACAAAACCTCACAGAATACAACTTAATACCTAGGATGTTCTTTGACCGAACAAGCTTTGTATTAACTATAGTTGCTCTCCTTCTCCACTCCCTTTTCAACATTCCAGATAAAACAAAAATTACCTACACAGCTGCTGCAACTGAAGAAGCCATTCCAGCAACTCTAGGAAATGGCACCCACAAAGGGGAGGAGTGCTCCCCTTGCACAGCCCAGCCTTCCCCGAGTGGCCTGGATTCTGGTCAGAAGGCAATTTAGTGTGATCAACTAGAGAGCAAAAGATGAAAGGAACACCAGAGACGGAGTCTTTCGAGACTGCCAGCAGGACTACCAGCATTGACAAGTCTTGCCTGGAGGGTCCACCTGAAGAGCCTCACCTATCCCCAGCTCAGAGACGAATACTTGTTTAAGAAATAAAGACTTGTTCGAAGACAGCCCTATGAAAGCAGAAACCAAAAGTGCCTTTTGTCCCTGCATTTCCAGAAGTGTTCCACAGGCACATAAAACACACTCAACTTCTGAATTAGGCAATAAATAGGGGCCTTTTACCCTAAAATCAAATATTCAAATCCTATTCCAACCTTTTTGACAGAAAATGAGGGAAAAAAATGCTCAGAGCGCTGCCAAATTTCAAACGCCCAAAGTCCTTTCTAACCTTAAAATTTCCCTTCTGTTATTTCTGGGATTAAAGCTCCAGAGAACACCAACATGACACTAAATGTACAAAGGCAGACATGAAATGCAAGAGCAATTATAAACAAGATGAACTAAAAAATCAGCCATAATGAAATGAATGGACATTTCTGGAGAACAGAATCAGTAGAGAAGAAAAGTCAGCAAAACAAGAACACAAACATACACAGAATTATTCAGTAATCTATCCCATTAATTCATTAGCTGACAGTGGTTTCTGTATTATCCCCCTCAAAACTCAAGTACAGCAAGCTACTGGAAAATGAGTGTTTTCTCTAAAATAGGATTCTAAAACCGCAAATTTTCTCCAATGAAACAAATGTTTTACGTACTGCTCATATGCAGACAAGCATTAGGCAGATTAATAAACAATTCCTGCAAATAAGACTCTGCCCAATTACTTGTGATTTTCATACCATTTAGTATGTTTAAGTTCAACTGAAACCCTAAAAGACAATTTTAGGGCATCAGTTGCCCAATGGCCAGGACCACCAGTACTCCTGATACCAGAGCAAGTTTAAGAATCACCAACTGGGGGGAGGAGGGAGCACCTGGGTGGTTCAGTCAGTTAAGCATCCATCCAACTTTTGATCTCAAATCAGGTCTTGATCTGGGATCAGTTCACAGCCAGCACAGGGCTCCACTGTGAGTATGGAGCCTACTTAAAAAAATTACCAATGTGGGTCACTAATACTGTTAAAGACCTGTGAAAAGATCTACCTGCCTACTGTATTAACATATTATACCCTTATTTACCTATCTACTCAAATGGTTTTACCATTCAGCAAATATCACCTGCCAGGAAACTTAGTTAAGCAGAACCAAGAGCATTAGTATTCTCAGGAAGGTAGAGCTAGACTTGAGATCTAGTAATCTCAAATTATCCTTCAAAAGAGAACTAGATAGAATACAAAAGAAAACAAGTTACGTTACTTCACACAAAACCTGGTTCTAAAACTTTGCTTATAGGATTATACTCAGACTCCTATTTCTCAGGTCCTCGATGGGGCAATTAAGGTTAGTTCAAACCAACTCCCAGTCATCTCTGCCATTTGCTCAAAGGGCCTCATTTTATTGCTTCACTGTATGACAACTATTTGTAATGACAAATTGGCAAGCCACTGACATTTACCTATCTAGGGGTAAAGAAACGTGAAAAACTAAAATAGAATAAAGTCAACTGGTAAAACAAAGTATGTACATCATACCACCAATTTATATAAAAACTTAAGGGAAGAAACAGCCTTTCCATTTGTTAATAACTGTGGCTCACTTCCAGCCTTCCAAACTAAACACACACACTTAGGTTCCACTCCTTTACATCAGCCTCCACCTGAACAAATTAACAAGTGTAACACTCAAACTCCCCCTAGAACTGGCCCTTCATAGAAGGGAGCAGCTTCCCCATTTTTGTTGCATGAGCTTCTATTGTCTCGGATGTAACAAAAAAATATATACCAACAACTTCTCAAACCTATCCCCAAATAAGAGTCCTACCACCTAATCCCCATACTTTTGTAAAGCGAAAAGCAATCCTTCTGGTACTTCTTTCCTCAAAAAACCCATGCAAGGCTGGGGCAGATGAAAGAAAATGAGCTTTTCAGGTTCTGGGGAACTAGACTTCCTCAATTCCAATACCAGTCCACCATTTACTTGGCTCTTCTCTGGCCCTGAGTTTCCTCCTGTAAAATGATTATGTTCCTAGTAGCTGTGAAGATTCAGCGAGCATAAAGGGAAAATATTTGTAACATTATCCAAGTACTACATGCCACTCACCATTACCAGACATTTATCCAACCGAGCACTCCTATAGAGGACTAAGAAAATCTAAGTAGTTTCTGAGATTACTAGGAGACAATGAAGATCATCTACAGGTATGCAACGCTCAGAACAAAGATGGATGTAGAACCTTAAGCAGTTTTCCCTTTAACACACAGTCGCATCCACAGCTCTTCAATGAAAGTAAAACATGTGAAACCCCTTAACGCATTCTTGTGCGTGGACTTAAAAAAGCTTTACATAATAATCTAACCTCCAAAATTTTATAACCTTTGAAATAAGCATAAAACATTTTTAAAATCCGTTCTCCAATTACTCTTCTCTTGGCTATGGAAGCCTAAATAAAGTGATAAAGGGAAAGAGGTTTGGTACAGTCACACACAGGAAACTTAACGGTCATCATCATTTTAACAGTTTGCAGACACCTCTGCCCTTGTTTTGACTAGACCAGAAATGGCAAGGGTTTTTAAGACTTAAATTTTCAAAAAACCTTTAAAAATCCACCAACCAAATTCCAGGATTCTCCACAAGGTATTTTAAATGTGAACATAGATGGATTGGGAAAAATAATAGCATACATCCTTCAGACAAACAGACAAAAGCAATTTTTATAATGTTTTATTATCAGTAACAGCTGCTTTACCGTGTCTTTGTCAGGCAGCTGTTAAAGGGTGGGTGGGAGGACACCCTTGACCCTAACAAGGAAAACTCAAGCCATTATGTACAAGCAAATTTAGAGCTCTTTTAAATGTCCAAAGCTATTAATTAGTTTAATTGATGCATTAAACTAATTCTGAATTAACATATTTGAATAACCAAGAACGAAAATGTTCAAATCTTTTCTAGTACAAAAAAATTAAATTTGCTTTAGTTATAAAAGAGCTCTCTCAATATACACAAACTATACACTTCAGACATTCACAAAAATGTGAGCGGAAGGCTTATCAAAAGACATTTAATACAATTAGTTTTCAACAACCCCTGGTGGTCCACATCTACAAAGATTTCCAGCCCAACCCCCCCCCCCCCCAAACCCCCCCCCCCCCCCCACAGAAAAGCACATACTTACCAGAATTTTTAGCAAGTATGGTTTGGGAATTTGTTTTGTTTAAAAAAAGGCCCCCAGGGCAAGTTATTTACAGTTTAATTGCCACTGTCAACTGATCTGGACCTTGACCGGGATCGGGACCTGGACCTCTGGCGATCCACAGATGCTGGAGACTTAGATCTACTTGAAGAACCACGTTTCTGGCTCTTCTCAGGCACAGGAGACCTACTAACAGAACGGGACTTGCTCCGGCTCCGGCTCCTGCTCCTGGACCGGCTGTAAGACTTGCGACTCCGGGACCGAGACCGGCTACGAGACCTAGAGGAACTCCTGGTCCTGGAACGAGACCTGCTCCGTGACCTACTAGGGAGGAAAATGAACAAACAAAAACACAATATAAGTGGCAGGACCTACAAACCCACCAACTAAAACTTTTGTCTTTAACATGTTAGATACCTGTGCCTTTTGCTGCCTTCGATTAATTTGATTTTTCTCCCATTTATTTCCTTTCCAGAAAGTTTTTCAATAGCATTCTTTAAATCACCATAAGAGGCGAACTCAACCACCCTACAATGGAAAAAAGCCATTTGTACAATTATATACATCTGGTAGTCTGGTCCCAAACTACATATAGCAATCCAGAGTATCAAGACTACCTTTTCTAGATACCTTCTGCTACTGCTCTATTAAGAATCTTAGATCTTGAAAACAGCATTACAAGGTTTCTCCACTTCCAAACCATGGACATTTTAAGCTAGACAGTTCTTTGTTGTGAAGGCCTTTGCCTATGCGTGGTAGCCATGTTTAGCAGCATCCCAGCCTCTACCTACAAGATGCCCGTGGCACCCTAAACCCATTACAACCACCAAAAATGTGGTCCAATGCCCCCTACAGAGCAAATTCATCCTCAAATGAGAACGACCACACTCCAGCATATCCAAATTCTAAGATTTCTGAAAACATTCAGTTTTCAAAAGGCTTTTATGACCTTCAAAACACACTCACCCTTCATTTAATTTAGGTCGATGTGCATCCGCAAAGGTTACTTCCCCAGCTTGTCTCATGAAATCTTTGAGATCCTTAACACAAGACAATTGTGTCACGCGAAGAAAAGGAAACTTGACACACAAACAACCACATGGTATAAAAAACAAGACTACTGGAAGAGAAGATGTTAGATAAAGTACAAACATGGTATTTACCACACTTGTATTCTATCAGAATTCAAAAATTATCTATGCCAGGGCACGAAATAAGCAAAAAGCATATTGCTTTTAAGCAAAATGCTAGAGGAAAATTCAGATTTTAACATTAAAGTAGTATTAGTCTATACTGAGCTCAATACAAAAGGAAGAAAACAAAACAAAACAAAAAAACAAAACAAAAAGGAACAGTACATATTTTTAAAGACTAAAGTAGAGGTTTTATATTAAAAAAAAAAAAAAGAAACAGAACATTTACAAGACACCAGTTATTTTGTGCCCCATATGTCATTAAAAAAGTTTACTTTACCTTTATTATTATTTCCCTAGGCTAGTCAAGCAGCAAACCATTAATCGGTCGGAGAAACCTTCATGACATATGCCCGACTGGCTCTTCGCCACCCACTTGAAGGACACTACCCAATCGGTGGAAGCCTTTAATCGCACAGCCCTCCCTATTAGCAGACTATTGGCGGATGCAGGCACCTTCTACTCTTGTGCAGTTACCAAGGACCACTTTACTGCGATCAGGATTCCAACGACCACCTAATTTCGAATCTTTCAACTCTTTTCGACCAGGACCTCTTATTCGGAAGCGTTACAGGAAGACAGCTCTCAATTAGGGATCAGATCACGTTATCAACGCTCTGGGATCGCTGCAACCTGGCACTTCAAGTAAGTGCCCCGATTACGTCTAGACCGGCAAACACAGATCTAGAGGTGGCCAACTGATCACTGTAGGAGCTGACTGGCAAAGTCAACCAGGCCCAACCAAGAGTGACCAAGACAACGATTAGGATAACCCACAGGCACTCCTCGTCATAAGGCCAACGACACAGATAGGCTGGCAAATAAAGGGTTTAATATTTGGTTAAAATTGATTTTAAAAAACAAGAGAAAATATCCTCAAAACATTAAACATTTGATCAAATTAATTAAAGTTTCAAATATCCCCCAATTACTTTTAATCAAAATTTTAAAATTACAATTAATTCCATTAATTTAATTTAAAATAAAATTACTTTTAATAAAAACATAATAAAACATTAACTACCCATTAACTTTTAAAAAGCCACATTAAAATAGCTCAAAACTGTGTTTCAACAAACCTGCCAGCTGACTCTTGAAGATAAATTCTCAACTATAAGCCGATTTTCTGTTCTTACAGGTGGAGCATTTCTGAGGAAGAAAATGAGTACTCACAATGGAAGAAATGCAGCAGTGTGTACCTACTGTGTTCGACTGTGGGCAGATTCAAGCAATAAGATAGAACAAGTCATTCAAATGACTTCCATCGAGTTTCTGAATTATTTTACAGGACTTATTACACACACTAATCAAGAACAGCAGACTACCACAGGAATAACAGAAATGATTATACAGTAAACAAAAACCATTTATCGCTAATTGTTCTTAAACATTAAAATCTCCTCCTGCAGTAATGATTGTTCGAAGCAGCCATTCACGATCCATCACATACCGTCTATCATTTCGAGGTCTGCGACTACTAAAACGGTCAGAATAGCGTCCTCTACCTCGTCCACCTCGAGACCGAGCTCTAGCATGTTCAATAGTAACCCTACAGGAAAGGAAAGAAGGCTCTGTTATCCACACAAGCCACCTGACAGCTAATCTGAAATATCCCAACTGACCTAGTCTGCTCTACCTTACAGTGCTAACCGTTACAAAACTAAGGTTCTCACCTTTCACTGCACAGTTCTTTTCCATCGAGTTCATATACGGCATCATCCGCATCCCTGGGATCCTCAAATTCCTAAAATGTGAACGTGAGAAACAGCTCTTAACATGATTTTAAAGTGTATTCTACAACAGTAAAAGCACCAAAACCGTGTCAAAAATGAGTATCTTAATGACAGTCCCATACACATAAGCTCAACTGAAATGCGATCAGGAGTGGTTTCCCTCCAACTAACAGCGAGGTTTTTATCCCTTAAAAATTCCCTACGCTCAGTAAAAATCAAAAAACACTGCTTATCGAAATCTTTACCGACTTAACAGCAGTTCTAAACAACCAGTTGTAAATACTTACCACAAAACCAAAGCCTCTTTTCAGATCAATATCTCTTATTCGTCCATACCCCTTGAAGAATCTTTCCACGTCCTTCTCCCTGGCCGCTGGATTTAACCTCCCGATAAATACTCGACAACCACTCATGGTGTCCGGCTAGTATTTCCTGTTACAAAATAATCCAATTGAGACAATACCAGTGAATGTCCGAAGAATGCTTGGTCAAGGGGTCAAAAACATAAACGGCATAAAGTAAAATGTTTACCCGGTGATGTTATAAACAAGATTGCCAAGAGTGCCTCTTATTAGGCCAGGTCCCTTGCAGACAAAATTAAAACTCGGCTCCCAACACGATCCTTCCCTGGGCCCAGACCGCAGCAACCGCAACGCCCACTGCCGCCTCTGGAACTGCGCAGCCGCACTCTCTCTCCCCGGCTCTTCTGGCCCCCTCCCATCTGCCGCAGTTAGGAAAGGCCGAGAAGTGCGGGCGGAGCCGACCCCGCCCTCCGCAAGGCCAGCCCAATGGCGACGGGCCGCGCGCACGTCGCCGCCTCCCAGGAACGTCACAGCGGGTGGAAGCCGGAATCTCGCGACGCCACCGCCGCGCCTGCGCAGACGGCGGCGGGCGGACGCGGGCAGCCATAAAATGGCGGCGGCCGAGCCAGCGGTGGGGTGAGCCGCGCGTGCCAAACGCCCTTCTCCCCCCCCCCCCCCCTCCCCGGACTCCACAGTTCCGGAGTCACTGTGCCCGTCCCAGAAAGCCCTAACCACGCCCCGAGCAAAGGCATCAGCCCAATACTCGGGGAGGGTCCGGGTAGTGAAGAGGTAAGGAGGCAGGGAGGGGCACACGACCCCCGTGTAAAAACGACCATAACCACAACCGCCCTTCCACCGTCAGTTCCCCTCAAACAATACCCAAAGGGAGACGTGCCCCAGCGCCCACCTCGAATAAACTGCACTCATTGGACGCCGTCCTCCGCAAAGAGAGCAGCCCTGGCCACTCACGATCTGAACGGCCATGAAGAAGCTTCGATCCGAGAAGCCTTTCCCTCAAAGTGAGCCACTCACCTACCGGACAGGGTCTTTGGCAGCTGAGACCAGAGAGGTCCGTAGTCTGCGACGGAGCCGTCTACCTCCCCGCAGACCAGGACTAGTCTCGTCTACGCCTCTCCACAACTGACGCACTTAGCTGCTCCTGCGTCCCACAAAATGGAGGGCGCGCCCTGGCGTCACTTCCGTTACCGCCCCTGGGATCTAAGGGCGGAAATTTCCGCGGAGCCGGAAGTTTACGCGGGGCCGGAGCCTCTTAACGGTGACAGCCCCAGAGTCCTGCACCCGGGATGGGCGGGGCCGAGGGGCGGGAACTGGCGTGGGTGAGGCCGTCAGGTGCCGCATGCTCAAAGGGCCGCGGTGGTAGGTGTTTGAGCCAACTGTGTGGCGAGGTGCTGTTCACCGTTGTCTGCCTCGTGGAGATACGCTAGAGCCAATGACATTTCTTTTTTATCTCAAGTCTTTTAAAGATACCCCCAAAAGTACTGGGTGAAAGAAACTCAGGCTTTGCAAAAATATTTGGCCATCTATGACCCCTTGCTTCTTGCTGTTTATGGTTGTACTTTGGCAGATGCTCCTTAATGCACAAGTGACTATTTTAGCCATACTGTCATATCATGGACCTGTGGTTTATACTAAGAAGACTAAGGAACTGCAGTTTTTTTGTTTGTTTGTTTTTGTTTTTTAACGGAAGGTTCTTGCACGATGAAATATTGAAATTGGGACTGTGGCTAGCAGGCCATCTTGAATTGAAGCCAGAATGCAGATTTCTGCACTAGGGCTGAGCTGGTTGGAAGAGGTTTCAAGCTACTTTTAAAGTCCCAAATGGTATTTGGTTAACCTTCCCTATTTAAGTTTCTGTAACGTAACACATAAAAGTATACTATTCTTCAGAAACAATAGACCATGTTTTCAAAATGTGGGTGAAACAGCCTTCTACATCCTTAGCTCCACATTTTCCCAGCAAGGTTGTCAGGCTTAGCAATCTAGGCATAAAGAGAATGTGAAAAGGTTACTTTTCTTTAACGCTTTTAGGTGGAACCCAAGGCACCCCATTTTTCAGAGGTGCCGGGCATCTAGGGTTGCTATTTGCAACTAATGTTACACAGAGCTAGAGTAGTTCAAGAAGCCGCAGAGGTACAGACACTTGCTCTGACCTCCTAGCTCTTAGAAACTCTAGATGTGAATTTTGATAGTTTTTATGGGATGAGTTCATCCATTTATACATTTGTTTATTTTTTTTAATTTTAAAAGATTTTATTTATTTGAGAGAGAACAAGAGAGAGCATGGGGGGAGGTGCAGAGGGAGAAGCAGACACCACCAACACCATCACCCCACACCCTCGGAGTAGGGAGCCCCTCATGGGGCTCCATCCTAGGACTCCGGGATCAGGACCCGAGCCAAAGGCAGAGACAGAATGGACTGAGTCACCCAAGTGCCCCTAAACATTTGTTTATTTTAAGAAGAGCCTCAGTAGGTATGTAGGAAAATTGTGAATTTAGGCCATCTATGGTGTGGGAAATGAAGGAAGGATTTAAAAGAAAATAAGAGTTTGTTATAAGAAAATACCTTTACCTACTAGCCCAATAAATACTGGCCTCTCATAATGTACAAATTGTCCCAAACCAGTACGTATTTAGCTACATTTGTTTGCTTTCTGCATAATTTAGAAAAATTGGCCTTCCAATTATTTTCTACATTTTTCTATTGACTATGTTAGAAGCAATCACTTGTGATTTTACTCTCTAAATATTATTTTTGCTGCAATAACAAAGTAATCTAAAGAAGGTTTTCTGGGAATGAAAGACAAAACTGATCGTGTTGTATATCATGAAGAATGTTGCTGTCTTCAGCACACAGTGTTGTGATTTTCTTCAGGACTAATTTTTTTTTTTCTAAAGCCTATTAATCTTAAAAAGAAACCGTTATTTCACCAGCAAAATGAGTTTATTCAGGAAAAGTAGAGAACTATAATTCAAGACATATAAGCTGCAGAAAAACCATAGGCAAGTCCAACAAGGAAAGGAACATGTTAGGGAGAAGGAGGAAATTAGAGAGATTGTTTTGAAGGAAAGTCCAAAGGTTGTTGGAGAAAAGCAGGTTTTCTCATTTGTTCAGTACAAGAGTGGTCATTTTCTGTCTTTTTTTTTCTTTAAATATTTATTTATTTATCTAAGAGAAAGAAATAAGAGCGTGCTAGTGGGGAGGGACAAAGGCAGTGGGGGAGAATCCCACGCAGACTCCCTGCTGAAGCCAGCACCCATTAAGGGATTCAATCTCACAACCCATGAGATCTTGCTTGAGCCAAAACCAAGTCAGATGCACTGAGAGGCCCCAGGGGTAGTCATTCTCTCATAGGAAATGCAGTGTATACCTTTTTGATGTTGGAGACTGTGATGATTCTTTCTTCTTGACGTTTCTTCTTTTGGGGTCTGTTAACTGACACTTATTCCTGTAACTGCAGATGTGTGGTTTAGCTCCCACTAGAGCCTCCAGACTCTAGTAAGTTTTCTCTTCATTAGTTTTCACAAAGCCTTTTCCTTGATTTGTTTACTGTTAAAAATGTTTGATTTCCACAAAGGTAATTTTTCATTAGTGTGCCTAGTGGCTTAATCTACAATTCCTGCATATGGGTATGTGTTGTTTTTTTTCCCCAAAATGCCTAGCACAGAAAAGGTTCGGTATTTATAAACTTGGATTCACATTAGCATCTTTTTTTTCCCAAGTCGTCCTGCTCCTATATTGTTTCAACAGAACGGCATAGCATCTTTTCCCCAAGACATCCAAGTGAGTTGCAAATTTTAGAAAAGGGGGAAAAAAAGATGCAGGGAAATCACAAATTAAACTAAACACAATAAAATAAAATTAAAATATTAACACAGTTTATGGGCCATTTCTGTTGGGGTCTTTCAACACAACCGTGGGATGTTTCATTCATCACCTTCCTGATTTCATCCAACACAGGGATCAGCAAATTATGGCCTGTGGACCTAATCCAGCCTATCACTTGTTTTTGTGTGGCCTGAGGATGGTTTTACATTTTTAATGGTTGGAGTTGAGAGAAGGTGATCAAAAGAAGATTTCGTGACAAATGAAAATAAGATGAAATTCAAAGGTCAGTATCCATAAAGCTTTTTTTGAACACAGCCACTCCTGTTCATTTACTTACTGTCTATATCTGTTTGTCTTGCCACAGAAGCAGGGCTGCATAGTTGCGATAGAGGCCATATGGACCACAATACCTAAAATATTGACTATCTGGCTCTTTACAGAAAACATTTGCCAACCCCTGAGCTAACTGATTCCTAAACTTTAAAGTTTCGTGAATGCTCCAGCCAGCTCCCTTTGTCAGATAAAACTGTAAACAAGGACAGAGAATTCGATCTTTATTTGTAAATAGAGTTCATAATTTTCCAATTATAAAAATATCTATATGCTCATTATCACAAAAATGTGCAACAGGGGAGATAACTGAAAGAGAACACTTGTGAAGCCAGCTCACCCAGTGAACCTCAGATTATGGTTCGCTGTTTTTCTTTCTTATGTTTTCTTTCCTGAGTGTTTAATACATATTTTATTTTCTAATTCAAAAATAATACATCATCATTTTCAAAAAACATAGATTTTTTATTTTTTTTTAAATTTATTATTATTTTTTTTTAAGATTTTATTTATTCATTTGACAGAGATCACAAGTAGGCAGAGAGGCAGGCAGAACCAGGCTCCCTGCTGAACAGAGAGCCCGATGCAGGGATCGATCCCAAAACTCTGGGATCATGACCTGAGCGGAAGGCAGAGGCTTTAACACACTGAGCCATCCAGGCGCCCCCATAGAGATTTTTAAAAGATGTTAAAATGCTATCCTTATTCCCAACCCTGAAGGATACCTATTTGGCCTTTTAAATGATTTCTCTGTAGTGTTCCTCTCAAAAGCACAGTTGCATTTCCAAAATATGAATCATCCTCATATATAGAATTTGGTTTCATGAGGGGTTTTAATTCATAAAACATAATCACGGGCATTTTTCATGTTTCTTTAATATGTTTAGGAACAAAAGTATATATTCAAATTTGTGTCTGTTTTTCCACTTAACATGACACAAGCACATGACTGGAGAAAATTCTCATCCCAATCAGTAACTCTGTTTTTCTGGAAATGTACTAAATAACACCAGATGCTTAAAAATCCCTATCCAAAACTTCCAACACAAAGAAAAAGTCTGCTTCCTTGCTTCTAGCTAATAATTCCAAAGATTTTTTTGAAAGGGTATCCTTAATCTTTCTTGGAAATTTATGGCTTTTAAAAATGTTCCATTTTTTGACTGATTTATCCCTACAGCCCTATCTGACTTCTTTTTATTGCTACATCATGGTTTTTTATCGTTGTTTAATTTAGTGCATCATAGTTAAAAGACCTGTGAACCCACTACTTTAATTTCAGTACCTAGAGCAATATTTCTCAACACCAGCCATACACTAAAATCATCTGGAAAGTGTTTATAATGTTCTGTTGCCTGGGTCCCTACTGGCAGAAATTCTGATTCAGTCGTCTGGGCTGGAACCCTACCGAGTGTGTTAGTAAGGGCTGCAGGTGCTTCTGATACTCAACCAGGAGTCTGAGAGGAATGCTGAACTAGGTCGAGG